AATATATACATACAATATATACAACGTAATCAATTAAAATATTTGAACATGAAGTAGTCCTCTGATCTTTTAGTTCTACACTTAATACAGTTCTTGTATAGGTATACGTTTTCTTTCTTATTGCGTAAGCCATACGGGCAGTCAGGACTAATGCGTTTTGGGAGAAGATGGTGTAAAGGATGTCCTGTAACTTTGATTTTGTCCATATATTGCAAACAGAGGGAGTGCCTTCTGGTTGATAATGGATCCAGTTCAGCACGCTGTAGTGCATCGTTATAGCACTCAGTAGATGGAAATATGATTTTCAAAGCCCGCTTTTGCACTGATTCAAGTTTGTCCGCCAACGTACCAGGTATCGACTGCCAAACAGGAACTGCATACTCCATGGTTGGTCTGATGGTACTTATGTATACCTTTAAAATACTTTCTTGATCAACTCCAGCTCGTCGAAGGAGTACAGCTTCTTGCATGCCTTCTTGTAGATGTAGTCGACATGGACGTCCCACTTTAAATCGGTTTGTAAATGGACTCCTAGAATCTTATAGCTAGAGACCTTGTCTATGATCTTATCCCCCAAGCTTATTGGTCTTAAATTGAAATTAGGATTGTCCATAAAATTGATAAGCATCTCTTTGCATTTAGTAGGGTTACTTAAGCTTCATGTTATGGGTGGTTGAAAAGCTTTGAATGTCATTTACAGCAGTATTAAGATAGCTGGGAGAATTCCTTGGTAAGATTACTAGCGCAGTCGTGTCGTCAACAAATTTAATTCTTAAATTCCAATCAGAGAGTAATTTGCTTGTCATAACAGTAAACAAGATGACTCCTAATTTAGTTCCTTGGGGTATKYCTCCATTAAGTGGGCGCMAGCTCGATAGCGTGTTACCGATTCTTACTGCTTGTCGACGATCAGACAAAAATCCAGCAATCCAGCTGAGCAACACAGGGCAAACTTCCAGTCGTTTAAGTTCATCCATTAAGATATTGTGATCGATAAGGTCGAAGCCTTTTGAGAAGTCAGCGAAGAAAATTCGCGCCCCAGCACTTCCGCTATCGACAGCCTCGTAGATAGCTTGAAGTAGGTAGAGGAGGGCGTCTGATGTTGAGTGGCCCTTTCTTGCGTATTGACGAGCATCAATCTGTCCCTCAAGCTGGTTCAACAGTCTAGAACAAGTTAAACTCTCTAGAACTTTTGCAAGAGTACACGTGAGTGAAATGGGCCTTAAGTCACTCTCAATGTGTTTTGGTGGGCTAACCTTAGGAATAGGTGTGACGATTGAAGACTTGAGAAGAGAGGGGATGAATCCCTCTTTTAAGGATTGATTGTATGATATCTTGGATGACTGGTGCCAACTCAAAGGCAAATTCCTTTAGTAACCTGTTCGGAATGTTGTCTGGTCCGATGGCTTTGGAGGCATTCAAAGCCATCGGACGTATTCAAATGCTTGTAGTTTTGCTACAAAATCGCACTTTGACTTCAAACTTTACATAACTGTTGGGAATTATATGCTGTTTTTGGCCTTGGACATAAAAAAATTATTTGGATCTTAAAACAAAGTTTTTTGTAGGTATTTCTTGACCAGTCTAAAACGCGTTGACCCGTGAAAATCCCATACATTCTGACCCCGGGGGGTATTCCCCTATATTTGCTATACGGGTATGTGCCGCAGGATAGGGTCCCTTTTTCGGAACACCAAGTCTGGGATAGGGTATCATTTTTTGTCCATTTGTCTGAGTTAGGGTAGTAGTTTTGTCTGCGATAGGGTAGTTTTTTGTCTAGTATAGGGTATAGTCTGGTTTTCTGGGATAGGGTGGAGTTTTGAGGGTAGTAGTTTTGTCTGCGATAGGGTAGTTTTTTGTCTAGTATAGGGTATAGTCTGGTTTTCTGGGATAGGGTGGAGTTTTGCCTGTGATCGTATCTGCTAGACCACGCTTTCAGCGCTAAAATAATGTACCTTTGTACCTTTAGTCTGGGGTAGGGTATGCAAATCAAAAAAATTGGTCTGGGATAAGGTAAGGTTTTTAAGAGTCGTGCGGCACACCCCAAACACTGTTTCTATGTTTCTAGTGTAGAGCCAAAGTCATCCGTGACTGACGGATGCCTACTAGTTAGCGGCACACCCCCACCCAAGTTGGGGAGGTAGTACCCCGCCCCCTCCCCACCGGGGTTCCTACCAATTTTCGATCGCTTGTATTTCTGTTAAAAAGCATTATTTTGGCTCAAAATTTCGTGATGATCCTTTAATTTAGATGTTCTCTTGAGGACAATAATAATCTTTCGCTTATTTGTTAGCCTCTAAATAGCTTTTTTAGAATATCACGTGATGGTTGCAAGCCAAGAATCACTGGAAAACTGATCGCGCTCCTCGAAGGTTGTAAATTTAATGGAAATACGATTGAAATTGAATGTCGATTGAAATTGAATGTCTTGTTTCATTAATTATTGATAATGGTTGTCCGAAAAAAGGAACATTGGAATGATGCCGTGATTATGCTCAAATATAGGCTTGCCTTCAGTAAGGAATGGAAATAAAAATACAAAGTMGAACATCTTATCTTCTTCACCGTTGATAATAATCATGATGRTMTGCTTATGATGATAATGACAATGATAAGAATAATAAATAAATATGGCAAGCATATAATACTCGCACAATTCTAGATGGATAGGTTGAAGTTTGCGGTTTAGTCATTTTTGACATCTTTGTCACAACCGATCAAAATTGATTAGTGGCACTACTGAAGTTCTGACAACCACGTGCACCTAGCCGCGGTCAACCTCGAGTCACACAATCAACTAATATATTGTAAATTTCAAATAACAACACTCAATGTCATTCGTGCGGTATCCCTGTGCTTTTTAGTTCTGGGCTTCCTTTAGCGAATCCATGCCATATATGGAAACAAAAAAAATGCCCGATTGTCAAGAAGTGTTTTCGCTATAATTTTCCAGACAATTTCTTGCTTTAAAAGTCGAGAAAATCGCCAAAAAACATTCCTATCGTACTTCCAAATAAGGTAAGATTACCATATATGGCTGCTAAACGAAGGACAACTTTTCTAGGGCAATTCTTTGATATGGAAAAAAAACTATGTTCATAACATAAACCTAAAGCAATACATGACCCTCATTGGTGAACAAAGCCTGTAGAGTTTACAAGAAAGAATCTGTCCAAAAGATCATCGAGGTCACTTTTATCACGACACAGTTAGCAGGGGCGGATTTAGACTGGTTCACCTAGTTTCCGGAAACTAGTGAGATATTTTCGCAAAAGATATAATAAAAATAGTTGACATTTCAAATAAAATTACACAAACGGCAAAGAATTAGAGAGTATTTTACCGTTTAGCTTGCAATACGATCGTTCTAGCCGCCATTTTGAGAATCTTGCCACAGGAAACCCACATTTAATAACTGGAATATTAGCTATTTTTGTCTTGTGGGAGGGGACCCATCGAAACTTTTTGCCAAAGAAAGGCAATCTTGAGCCAAGAATCACAGTGGCGGATCCAGGATTTTTCAAAGGGGGGTTCCATGTTGGTTTCACATTTTCCTAAAACGAACTTTTTTTACCGTACCACCCGAATTGTAGCAAATGTAGTGTGAATGTGGTTATAGGTAGCGCATTTCACAAAGTCTCAAAACGCTTACAGTTCTATATGCGTACCACGTGGTAAAAATGTAATAGTAATAAATACTAAGTGATAGCCTATAATATAAAGCCACTTACTTATTGTAAGATATATTCCAGCTTCATCCTTCTCGGATGCAATTGTTCGAAAGACTTCACTAGCTCTGCCATTTTGCCTTCATTAGAAACGAGTTCATCGCAAAGATCGCGATGGACTTTCATTAATGCTAGTCCAGATAACCGGTCCCCGGACATTGTGGAGCGTCTGTCAGACTTAATGAGTTTCAGTTGACTAAAACTTCTTTCGCTTTCGCAAGACGTAATGGGAAGAGTCAATGCAAGGCGAAGTAAGATATGGATGTTCGGGAACTGCAGACAACTGCAATTTTGAAGGACATCCACCAAGTTCCTTGGGAGATCGTCCAGACTAGTATCCCGCAAGCGCTGTTTCCATTTTCTTATCCACATACTGTATTCTGTAGGGAGCATTTGCGAATGAGGCATGTCGTCGCTGTACATCTTCGCAGTTTCAGTAAGTTTATCAAGAAGGTCAACATCATCTTCAAAGCAAATACATTCTCTTGGAAGTAGACACAAGAGACCAAGTGTAACATCTTTAGCAGGATTGTTGCCAAATCTTTCCAGAAGCTCATTAACTACATGCGATATGAACTCGTTGTATACAGCTACGCGAAAATAATCTTCCACGCTTTCGACATCATGATTTGCCCTGTTCGTCTGCCTTCTTGCAATCCTTGGCTTACTCAGCTCGAAATCTTGCCCATGCAGTTCTTGTGCCATCTTTGTTGTATCCTTGAAAATCCTTGTGAATTCTGCAACAGAATTTTCTCTCATGGTCGTTAATGTTGAAATAACAGAATTGACTTCGCTGTAAGCATATGAAACATCATTTGCTTGCATCTGTAGTTTTATTGTTAACTCTCTTAAAAGATAAAGGGTTCTTTTCAGAATAGTAAGGCTTATAAGAAATGGAGTAGACTCAAGTTGGAACAAAAATCCATTGGCTTTGGTAACGTTTTCAGTATCCCACATCCAGTTTGTACCACATTCCTGATGCTGGTGTGGATACACAATAGCCTCTAATGCTCTGTGGATTGCCGGGAGCATCTCCGTAAAGACAATATAAGCATCGATACGCAGTACCCAACGGGTTCTGCATGCATCTTTCAATTTCTTAGCATTTGACCCATGTGGATTTTGTAATTCAAAAGCTTTATCAAGGAGGCGCTGCCTTTTTGCTGAGTTATTGAAAAATCTTGCGATTTCACCAACGTATGATTCAGCATTCTTGATCTGAGAGATTTTACATGCAGAAACTATTGCCAGGTTTAAACGATGAGCAGCACAATGAAAATACAGTGCAAGCGGTGCCTTCTCTTGCACAATTGACTTACACCCAGACCTTGCACCAGACATATTTGATGCGCCATCATAACATTGACCCCTCAAGTTTGCTAAAGACAAACCTTGGTTTGAAAGCCATTGTATTATAGCGTTTGCTAGTATTTCGCCTGTGATACGCTCTACCTCAGCAAAGTCAACAAACACTTCTTTGATGACAGAATTATAGACATAGCGTAGACAAATTGATAACTGTTCTTTGTTGGAAATGTCCGTCACTTCATCCGCAATCACAGTGTAGAACCTCGCTTCGCGAACTTCCTCTATGATTTCATTACAAATAGCCTTCCCAATAACGTCTATTAACTCATTCTGTATAGTTTTAGAGGTGTATTGAGCATTTTTTGGTGCGTTCTCTAGGTGTTTGAGAAGAATTTGATCTGTTTCAGCCCGAAAACGCACCAGTTCAATAAAATTCCCTTCATTATGGGCTTCTTTCTCCTCGTCTTTCACCCACGTTATTTTGTCGTCTCTGTGACCGCGAAGTGCAATCCCTTGTTTTCCGCAAAATGCTACAATTTTAATCAACGACTCGATTACTTTCCTGTTATTTTCAATTATCGTTTTGGCTTTTTCGTCTAGGATATTGTTCACTGCCAGCGTTGGTTCCTCATAACGCAAAAGAAATTCACTCATCTTTTCCATCGACGTTTTGTGATATTCTTGTGATGCATGAGCATTCATCTTTTCGGACATTTTTGTCCACATTTTAAACGGTTTATTTACAAATTGACCTAGACTTTGTGTTCCTGGAGGAGTAATTGCAAATAACGCACAGGCACGGCAGAATGCTCCATCACAATGGCGACTGTAGTGAAGCCACGGTTGTTTTTTCAGCCAAGATGGCTGAAATTGTCTAGAAGTGGATGATTTTGCACAGGGTTGAGTACGAGGATAAGATGCGGCATTACAATCGGGCTCCTTTTTCAGAATACGGTAGGTATCTTCTCTACTGAGCTTGCGGATGTCAGTACCTGACGCCAAGATCTTGCCTAAGTCTCCACAGTAACATCTAGATCTAAATTAATAGCGTTTTGTGTTTAATCATAGGGTTCGAGAGTTATACGAATTAAAACATATTCATACACTGCAATTTTTTGTGCAGGAAAACAATCTGACTTACTAAGAGCTCTGTTAGTGTTTATTTCTCTCTCTTTGGAACCACTGGCATTGTTTACATCTGTCAAAGAATTCAATTCAATGATGTTTTAGGCTGCGTCCATAATGTATGGCAGAGGGGGGGAGGTGAAATTGAGGGGGAAGGGGGTCAGGAA